AGAGCCGTATCCACAGCCGTAGCCAGAGCCGTATCCACAGCCGTAGCCAGAGCCGTATCCACAGCCGTAGCCAGAGCCGTATCCACAGCCATAACCAGAGCCGTATCCACAGCCATAACCAGAGCCGTATCCACAGCCATAGCCGGAGCCGGAGCCACAGCCGTAGCCTGAGCCATAGCCACAGCCACTGTAGTAGTTGCAACACATGATGTAGAGAGGTAGTTTCAGTTGAGGTGTAGAAGGGTGATTCTGATGTTTGAATGTCAGCTACACTTCCAGGACCTTTATATACTGTGTGAAAGGGGTGGGGCACAATGAGCATAGACCTGTTGCCTCATTACTGCAGTAATTTTCATTTTTACAAAGCTCATCATACTAAAGGCAATGCTATTTTCAAGTGATTATGCTCAAGTTTTGGCTAAAGCCAATCAAAATAGTTATAAGAGAGCAAACACATGCTACACATTAGACAAATATGTTATGTGGAATGCAATAAAAACTTAATTTAGATATCTTTCTCCAGACAGTAACTATCCTGTATTTCCAGGTACATGATCTTAGACATTGGGAGGTGTCTCTGAATCTCCTATTTCAGTATCAATAGATGAGCAAAGTTCCAAGGTGAGAGACAAAACAGCAGGGACATATGGTGAGGCATTCTTAGGTTACATCTGCAAAAAACTAAATGGAACCCAGGAAAAACAGTCACAGCTGTGTTGGCAGAAACAGGCAATGAGAGAGTCCAAGAAATTCTGAAAATTATTTTGTCTAATAAAACATTAATCCACATCATCCTAGGTTCCACACTACAGATTTTTTAGGATGGTACTTTCTCACTTTGAAATCTACCTACTTATCAGTTTTACATATAATAATATCTCACTGATTCTCCAACATTTAGTTCAAAATACCTCCTGTAAGAAATATTCATTTGTAGACCTTAAGAATGTGCACTAGACAACATTTTTATAAATTCCTGAGCTTTAGCAGAATGGTGTGTTGCATGTTGTACTAACCAGGAAATCAGCAGTTCAAATCTACCATTTGAGAGAAAGATGAGTGATCTCCTTCCCAAGGAAATTCAGTGTCTGAAATCCAATGATGGTTACCGTGAATGTATAGGAGTGGGCTTGGCGCTTAAGCTTATTTTGGTATTAACTATATCTATTAGTATATTGAGGGTATCTAATGGCATAGCCATGGTACTAGGGATATTGTAGCTAATGATAGGTGGTTCTTGGTTGAAAACAGGGAGAACCAGAGGAATGTATATCTGTGCCTCATTGACTATACAAGGAGTTTGGCTGTGTGGATCACAACAAACTGTGGCTGACACTGAGAAGAGTGGGAATCCCAGAACACTTGATCGTGCATATACAAAACCTATAATTGGACCAGGAGGCAGTCATCAGAATGGAGCAAGGAAACACTGCATGGTTCAAAATTTGGAAGAGCATATGCCTTATGTCTTATCATCATACCTTTTTAATTTATATGCAGACAGGTTATCTGGGAACCTGGGCTCTATGAGGAAAAATGTGGCATCAGGATTAGAGGAAGACTCATCAACAATCTATGTCATGCAGATGATAAAACCCTGTTTGCTGAGAAGGATCTGAAGTACTTGCCTCAGAAGGATAAGGACTCAGCCTTCAATATGGATTGAAGCTCAACATCAAGAAAACAAAAGCTCTCACCATTGGGCCAATTGGCAGCATCATGATAGATGGTGAAGATATTGAGATTGTTAACAGTTTTAGTTTGCTTGGCTCCTCAATCAACACTCTTGTTACTAGCAACCAGGAAATTAAAAGACAAATTACATTGGAGGCAAGGATTCTGAAGCTCCATGTGACATACATTGGACATATGTTACAAAACAGAACCAGTCTTTGGAAAGGGACAGCATGCGTGGGAGAGTGGAGGGATAGTGCAAGAGAGGAAGACACTAGATGAGACAAATTGATTCAGTGATTTGGGTAATGCGGATAAGTATGTCAGAGACAATAAGATTGGCACAGGATAAAGCAGGATTTAGGGCTGTTGTGCATAGGGTTACTATGATTCACAGGCAATTCAATGGCACATAACAACAACAAAACCAATGGCATAGCCAGCAGAGACCTGCACTGTTAATCCAAAGACCACCCTTTTCTGGTAGGTGGAATCCATCAGAAGCTCCTCAGGAGAAAGATGGGAAATTTCCTGTTCCATTTACCGCTTTTGAAAATCAGTGGAGGATTACCTTTGGGTGAGTTCAGGCAGTGAATGAGTATTAGCATAATATATTAAATTGTAAATTTATTTCTGTTAATTGAGAATTACTTAAAAACAATGTGCTGTTGTTATTTTCAGGTGCCATGAAGTCTACAGGACTCCTAGCAACCCTAGGAATAACAGATCTGAACCTTGCCATATCAAGCACTGTCCTCAGGATTTCTGTCATGCTCACGCCCATTGTAATCAGTGTGTCAATTCATCTCATTAAGAGTCTTCTCTTGCTGACCTTTACCAGCATGCTGTCCTTCCCCAAAGAGTGGTTCCTCTAAAATATGTCCGAGTAAGCGAGACTGAGATGAAGTTTCACTTTTCTTACCTTCAAGGAGCAATATAGTTGTACTTTCTTCAAGACAGATTTTTTTGTTCTTTGAGAAGGATGTCAGTTTAAACACTAAGGTGCATCTGATCCAAGTCATGGTAATTTTTCAATTGCTTCCTATACATCTAAAAGTTGGACAATGAGTGAGAAGACTGAAGAATTTTGGTGTTTGCAAAGAATATTAGATATAGCATAGACTGGCAAAACAATAAAACCAATAAAAACTCCAAATATGCGTTGTCATTCAGTCTGAAGCAACTCTTAGTAGCCTTTCCAGTGGGTTTGCAGAGGCTATAAATTGCATAAGAGGACACTGCCTTCTCCCACAGAGCCTCTAGTGGATTTGAACTGCCAGGGAGGGATCAGTTATGGGTTAACTGAGTTGCCTACCCAGTAGGCAAATCATAAACAATAGGAACTCTATTTTCTAAGAAAATGGTGAACTGGGTATTCACTACTGAATGAAGCTTTGTAAGACATCATCTGTTACAGTTAAGAAAATTTCTTTCCATTTAGATTTTATAAAATTTTAAAAAAGTATTCTATCGGTCCAATGGTTAAGGGCTAGGTGTTACCAAAAAGTTCAGTGGTTCAAATTCACCAATGTCTTTTCAGAAGACCTAATGATCGGTTCCATAAAGATTATAACCTCAAAAACCATATAGATCAATTATACTCAGCTGCATGCGTCTTTACTATGATATGGAATTCACTCAGCAGCATATAACAAAAATATAAACAAAAATGCAGCTATAAAAGGTAATAGTCATATTCTCATATCTAATGCTTTGATTGTTACAAAAATAATACAAAGCTATGACACATGGTATCATACATCTGATAAAAGTTAGTAAACAGAGGTAAAGGGTAGTTAAAAATTTGATCTTCCATTGTGCCCTTCAGTGTTCTAACCACATAGTGCTGACCATTTCGTGTCAACTCTATCCATTTCTTAGACCTGTGTTGTAATTCCTTAAATATTTCATAATATTATTATAGTTGTTCTTGTCCTGCCACTGCATTCTCTATCATCTGAGAGTGAAATTTTTATAAAACCTCAGTTACATGGAGAAATTGCCTTTTTATTCATATTATTATTATTTTCCTCCAGGAGTATTCTGTATTTGGTCAATTTCATTTTCCTCATTAGTATTGATAATTGTATGATTCTTTCAACACTAATCTGCCAGTTTGTCATACTGTGGTGACTTCTGTGTTGTTGAGATACTGGATGCTTCTATTTTAAATACTGGAATTTTAAGTATTAACATTCTAAAATTAACCAAACATGCAATAAAAATACATTAGTAATTATTAGAGTGGGGATGTCTGTGGGGCACCGCACTCTGCAGGCTTCTGGGTGTAGGAGTGTAGGAACTGGTGGCCTGACTGTCCTGGGTTTCCAATGAAGCCTCTCCACCCTCTAGACATTTGGCCCCTGTATCTGGAGGTAGGTGAAGGATCCAGTGTACCACGGTGACTGGAGCTGACAATAGAGATGTCTCCAGCCAACAGGTCAAAGCCAGAGGGTTCACCTTGTCTAAGCCTGTATCTCTAGCTCTGCCCTGCATCTTCAGTTCCACCCTGTACAGTGTGGCTTCTCCAAGGGCATACTGAAAACACATAAGCAAAATTACATTAGAGCATTGAGAAGCCAAAACAAAAAGGAAAAAAAGGTCAAATTAAAGGAGCTGACCAGAAGGTTCCAAAGGGCAACTTGAGAAGACAAAGCAAAATATTATAACATGTGCAAAAAGCTGGAGTCAGAGAATAAAAAAGGGAAGAGCTCACTCAGCATTTCTCAAGCTGAAAGAACTGAAAAACAAATTCAAATCTTGAGTTACAATAGCAAGAGATGGTATAGACAAACTCTTGAGTGATCCAGTAAGCATCAAAAGAAAAAGAAAAAAAATACATGAAATCACTGTAGCAAAAGCAACTATCTAACACTGAAAAATTTCAGGAAATATCATATCAAGAGTGACTTGTAATGAAGGATGAAGTTCAAGCTTCACTGAAAGCTTGGCAAAGCATAAAGCCCCAGGAATTGATGGAATCTAATTGACATCATTAAACTAACAAATGTAGCCCTGGATGTGCTCACCAGATTATACCAGGAAATTTGGAGGACAGCTGTCTGGCCAATTGCCTGGAAAAGATTCATCTTTGTCCTCATTTCTAAGAAAGGTGATCAAACAGAATATGGAAATTATGACACAATATCATTAATATCATAATAGCACACACAAGCAAACTATAGCTGAAGATCATCCAAAAATGCCGAGAACACTACATTGACAATGATGTACAGAATTTCAAACTAGATTTAGAAGTGGCCATGGCACCAGGGATATCATTGCTGATGTCAGATACCAGAAGAATGTCTACTTGTGTTTTATGGACTATGTAAAGATATTTGACTGTGTGGATGGATCATAACAAATTATGACTAACATTGTGAAGAATGGGAATCACAGAACACTTAATTGTGCTAACATGGAATCTATAATTAGACCAAGAAGCTGTTGTCTGAACAAAGCAAAGGAACCTAGATGGTTTAAAATCAGAGGGGTGTACATTAGCACTGTGGTCTTTCTCCATACTTATTCAGCCTGTATGCTGAGCAAATACTTCATGAAGCTGATCTCTATGAACAAGAAGAATGTGGCATCAAGTTTAGGGGAAGACTCATTAACCACTTTCATTATACAAATAGTACAACCTGGCTTCTTGAAAGTGAGGAGAATACGAAACATTTGCTGCAGAATATCAAGGGCTTCAGTATGGATGGCATTTCAATATCAAGTAATCAGAACTCTTCACTACAGGACTAATTGTCAACATTACCATATATGGAGAAAGAATTGAAATTGTCAGTGATTTCATCTTGCTTGGAAAAACAATACCCTTGGTACCAGCAGTTAGAGAATCAGAAGACATATTATATTGGGCAAATCAACTGTTATGGAACTTTCCAAAATACTGAAGAACAGTGATGTAAGTTTGAAGACTAGATAGTGCCTGATTCAGACCATGGTCTTCTCAATCACCTGCTACACATCAGAGAGCTGGACAATAAATAAGAATAATAGAAGAATAACTGATGTCTTTGAGCTGTGGTGCTGGAAAAGTGTACTGAATAACACATGGATTGCCAAAAGAACAAACAAGTATGTCTTAGAAAAAATGCAGCCAGAGTGCTGGCAGAGACAAGGATGGTGAAGCTTCATTTCTTCATTCTTTGGACATGTAACTAGGTGAGGCTATTTCTTGGAAATGGACTTCGTGCTTGGAATGATGAAGAGCCAGTGAAGAAGATGAAGAATCCCCATAATGTGGATTGACACCATGATTTCAGCAATGAGTGGCCTAGTGAGTAAGGAATCACACTGTCTGTCAAGCCAAAGACATGTGGTTTAAACCTGCCAGCTATCCCAACTGAGACAGATGGCAATCTCCTCCAGGTGATTTATAGTCTTTGAGAATCCAAGTGAATTTCAGCTATGAATCAATTCTTTCTATGGCACATAACAAAACATTATGTATTAACTGTCTAAGTTGTTGTTGTTGTTGTTGTTGTTATGTTACATCGAGTCGCTTGCAACTCATAGCGACCCTATATACAAGAGCTCTAAATGCCGTTCTATTCTGTGCCAACCTAGCCATCTCAAACGCACTCATTCCCACCACTCCAGTCACAGAATCGATCCATCTCATCGAGGGTCTTCCTCTCTTGCACAGTCCCTCCACTCTGCCAAACATGCCCAAAGTATGTCAGACGAAGCTTCAGAATCCTTGACTCCAAGGAGCATTCCAGCTTCACCTTCTCCAGGACAAACCTGTTTGTTCTCCTAGCAGTCCATGGTAGATTCAACACTCTTCTCCAGCACCACAGCTCAGAGGCGTCAATTCTCTTTCTATCATCCCTATTCACTGTCCAACTCTC